ATCTTGATTAGTTAGCTACATTGGTTCAACTTACTTTTTTGTTCTTTGCTTCACAGTCATCCAGTAATCTTCTTATGTCTTTTATTTCGAAATGAATAGCATTCAATTTTATCCCCCATTGATTGTCACTACTATATATCTTCCTTCATAATATATTCAATTAATTACATTTAATCACAATCAATCAATAATATATATAATATTAAATGCAGATCATATCTCTTCTTTTGAAATGATTTTTCATTCGTTTTTCAAATTATTTTAAGTACAAATCATATCACAGTCTTAAATAAACAATAAGAAATCAAGGTTGAATTTTTCCGTTGAACAGTCCACTTCATTTTTATTTGTTTATGATTATATTGTTTTTATTTGTACAATACTACTTTCAGTCCTTAATATAAAATTCAGTTGAGTAATTTGAAAAGATTAAAGAAGTTACAAAATTAATTAGTATAGCGTATGTTACTTGATCTCTCTAAAATACTTATGTGTATCATTAGATTAAATATAAATTTATGAGCGAGACAAATTACTTTGGACAAAAAATGATAAATATGAATACTTTAAAGTAATTTACAATAATTTTCTTAATATCTCCAAATTAATCAGTTGGGTTTTATATTAAGGATCGAAGGTAGTATCAATAAATATAATATTATATATATTAAAGTAAAAAAAAACCTTTAATCAAATAACAATGATATTGCATTCATGTTCTTTTAAATCTACATTGAATGTTAGCTATGAGGAGCCTACTTAATGATGCAAAAAGAAGAAGAAGAAAAATATGTATAAACAAATCAAATTCTTATATCATATTTATTCATATTTTTTAATTTTAGTTTGCAAGCTCAAATCTAGCTTGAAGAATTAAAAATACATACATATATATATAAACCTATATAAATCACTGTCTTATTATATAATACAAATTATTATCATATTATAATAAAAAATAAAATTTCAAAAGTTTTAAATTACTGACAGACTAGCCACATAAAACATTCTGTCGGCAATTTCTGTTAGAAATCTGTCACCGACAGAATTTCCAATGGAATTTGCCACAGATTTCTGAAGGAAATTACTAACAAAATTATTCTGTGACTAATTCCATCGCAAAATAAAATTACTGACGGAATTTTTTTCATTGGTAATTGAGTGTCTTTTTGTAGCGAATGTCTCCCAAGACTCAAGTGAGGTATTAAGAAGCTATAGTCCCAAAAACTCATCTTTAAATTTGATGCACATTCCTAGCAACTGATCCAAGAGCCCTTGAAATTCATTCAAGTGAACAAAAATAGAAGTCACATCCTTGTATCTCAAATTCATCAAACAATTCAATAAATATAATTTGTTATTTCTTGACTTAAAGGCAAACAAGGACTCAATCTTCTCCCAAAAAGCTATTTGCATTTGTCTCATTAGCAATATGATTATAAACATCATCATCTACAAATTGCCTAAAAACACACCACACCCGCTGATGTTGGAAATCCCAATCCTCTAGACTTAGAATCCATCTTCTAAGTAGCGAACAAAGGGAGATGCAAATTCCTAACAAATAGCAAATCTTTCATCTTTCCTTTCCAAAGATGATAATTACTTACTTTAAAGAAGCCATCCTACTTGTATATGTTTCTATCATTCAAGCAAGTCAAACAACTCAATAATCAATAATAAGCCAATTTGACAACCTGACAACTTAAAAACTTGGCCCTGATACCTCCATGATGAGAAAAATACACAACTCAAACCTGAGTTACACAAAATGAAAATATTTTCTCACTACTTGTAATAATCTCCAAGGAAACAAAACAAATATATGGCAAATAAACCACAAGTCGTTCTACAGCATCCACATTGTCTCTAGCCACCAAAGCTTTTGTCAAATACAACTTGGAAACCTTTTTCCTTCTTGCCATCACCAAACTACCTTTGGTGATTTTCCACTTTCTAGAACCAAGGTCAAAATCATCTTCACAAAGCATTTGAGGTTGTGTTGAGAGAAAATATAGACGTTAAGGTCTGCACAAGGGGATTAACAACAAATAAAACTTAAGCCCTGTTTGCCATCACGATTGAAATCACTTATAAGCATATTTCATATACGTTGAGACAAAACTTCTCTCACATATTTACCTTGCATTTCATAAGTCATGATTAAAAAGCTACTTATAAGCTATTCTAAATAGACCCTAAGGCAATTTACAGTAAAAAAACACAAGGGAATTAACAGCAACGCATAAGGGTGCTAACACAACTCAAACCTATGAGTTAGACACAATGAAAATATTTTCTCACCACTTACAAGAATCTTTGAGGGAACAAAACAAATATATGGCAGAAATTAAATAGCACAAGAGACACTAGAATTATTAACATGGAAACCCCTCAATGCAAGGGTAAAAACCACATATCATCCAGACCAAAGAAAATTACCATCAAAATAGGGTATAAGAGAGTCTCAATTAGATACATAAACAAGTGCAAACAGCCAACCAAACAACTAAACCTACAAGCTTAAATTAAGCAGAGGATGAAAAAGCTAAAAAATACTCAAACTAGAGGCCATCATACCAAGCAACAAATTGATGATCCCATCATTGAAAAGTGATATATTAGATGTTGCAAACCCACTAACCAAGTTTTTGCCCGATCCAATAGTTAATGAATGCGTAAATGCTGATTTATCAATACTACCCATGTGAAGATGTGAAAATAGTTGTCTCTTCTTCTCTCTTCAAATGGCTGCTCTTCTCCCTCAAAATGAGACCTCATTCTTTAACCTAATATGCCCCATCTCCACTTTAATAAGTGAGACTCCAATATAATAGGTTTCAAATATTAGGCCTTTCTACACATTGGAAAGGAGTCCAAAACCTAACCCTAACAACCAAAATTAGGTGATTTACTCTTATCTTTCTTGTAAATTTCTTAATTTTCATTGCTAACTCCTTATTTTACTTGTTCATTCACATATAGAAATTTGCATTTGTTTTGTTATATATATGTATATATATTTCTTTGGATTATATAATCAAATAAATTAGAGGGTTTGGTGGTCACAATTCCTCTAGCATGCCAAGGGATCATGGATTCAAACCCCATTGGCCACCTTACTTGTGAAAAGTCTCTAGTGGCTGGCTAATCACTTTTTTTTTTTTTAATGAAAAATGAAGTAAGGGTACCATGTCTTTTCACATACAAAACTCAATTTCATTTTGGTCCTATGGAGTGCAGTGAAGTTTAAGAATTTTATGGATGTTGTTGGAAATTATGTTGCTACAATTGAGTTATCTAAAATTTTCCCTTTATAATTCGCAGAATTTTAAGCTTCTTGTGTATTTCTTTAACAGACTAAGCTGTTTACGTTTTGTTTTATTAGAAACAAAGGATTTCATGATAATAAATACATTGTTTATCACAGAAGTTTAGGAAATTAAATTTGGTGCAGCTTGAGAGCTTGCAAAACTTAATCATTTTTAAAAAAAAAAATAGAGCAAGGGCACCAATGTCTTTTCACACACAAAACTCATTTCAACTTTGGTCCTATGGAGTGTAGTGAAGTTTGAGAATTTATGGATGCTGTTGGAAATAAAGTTGCTACAGTAGAGTCACCTGAAATTTTCCATTTATAATTCGCAATTTTTTTTAACTTCTTGTGTTTTTCTATTATAAATTAAGCTGTTTACATTTGTTTTATTAGAAAAAAAAGGATATAATGATAATAAACATATTGTTTATTACATAATTTAGGAATTTAAATTTTGTTCAGCTTCCTTAAATTTAAATAATTTTCCAGTTAATTTGGATTTACATAAAGGGAATTACAATCAAGTCTCACAGAAGAGAAATAATTACCAAAAGATCTCAATAACAATTTTAATAGCCTATAATGACAACTCCTATAGTGAGAATGATAATCTCAGGGACTTGTTTTTCAACTGTTGTTTCTTGCTTGGGACTTCATTGTAATTCTCTCTTTACATGAGGTACAAAAATTTATATAATCACTTATTTTCAACATTTTTATGTCAAAGCATATACTTTAATAATTTTAGTTGAGTGGCCCAAGTAATCATGCTCAGGAGTAGGTTCATCGGTGTCGTGGTCTACTGTGTGGTCTAACATCCAGTTGAGGCAAAATTAAACATGGGCTTTTATATTTTCTTAAGAAAAAAATTATTGAACATTGAAGAAAATTCTTGGTCATTGGAATTTTTTCCAAAGAAAATTTAATTTTTCTAATAATAACTAAAAGAAAAATTTCTATTAAAATATATACACTAAAAATTCAATATTAAAACTAATTCTAGAAAATTCAAGAGGGCTAAATTAATTATATTCATATATATCTTGCTTTCTAGGCTCATTTGTTCCTCCTATACGACGGAAGCCAAGGAGAGAAGAAGAATAAATGTAACATGTATTATATGTGTATTGGTCATAATGTGTACTAAAATCGGGCGCAAGAAGTCACATTATACACAACTTAAGATCAGAGTAAGTCCCTATGCTTCGTTATTTATCGACCACGATTATTCAATGATAGATGTCAATTGCCATTCAAATGTTAACTATTGCAATTGAAGGAATCAACGATATTTCTTAGTTACAAAATCTTTTCATTTCCAGCTGTATCCCAAATTGTCCCCGAGAATGCCGAGAAGAAAAAGTGCTTTGCATAAACTTGATTCGTTAAGCTCCGTAAAAGCTGAGTTAGAAACTATGGACCATTTAGAGTTTGTCACAAGTTATTGCATCTACAGAGTGCCATCAGATCTTCGGAAGGTGAACAAAGCAGCCTACACTCTATCACGGTCTCCATTGGCCCGTATCATCATGAAAATAAAAGATTGAAATCAATGAAAGAGGTCAAATTGTGGTTCCTCTACAAATTTTTGAAGAGGACTCAAGAAAAATAATTCGATGATTATGTTTATGTCCTAAGGGACAAAGAAAGTAAAATTCGATGCTGTTATTCAGAGACCATCGCAATGGGAAGCGATGAATTTGTAACGATGATTCTAACTGATGCTTGCTTCATCATTGAATACGTTCTTCTAAGGCTAGATAAAGATGGTTGGCATTCCAAGCTATGGTCAATGCGGAAGATAAGAACAGACTTGATTTTGCTTGAAAATCAGCTACCATTTTTCGTTCGTAAAGATCTATTTGACCTAACTTTTCCAAATGGCTACAATGATAAATTTTCATTTGAGTTTGTTACCTTCCGCTATTTTTATTCCACATTCATTTCTAGAATAGTTCCTAATGAAAGACTTCGTGGAAGGTTTACGTTCTCATATTTTGTACAACACCACCTACCTACACTTCCTGATGGTACTCCACAAGTACATCACTTGTGTGATATGCTGAGAATCTTCCATGTGCGACTTGATCAACTACCAAGGGAACACAGTGGCAGGGACATGAAGCTTATATATACTATAAGCAAACTACATGATGCAGGAATCAAATTTGAGCTCAATGAAGATGAAATAGGCTTACTTAAACTGCAATATTCAAAGGGAGTGATGAAAATACCAAGAATCGTTGTAAGTGATTCCACAGAGGCCCAGCTTAGAAATTTAATGGCATTCGACAAGTGTCACTTTCCTTCCCCAAGAAGCATGACTGATTACATAGTGTATCTGGAACATCTTATTAGAACAGGAAAAGATGTTGAAAAGCTTGAAGAAAAGGGAGTTATAGAGAACTTCATAGGATAGAATGATGCAGTGGCTTCCATAACCAAGAGACTAGGTAGGCATACTTTCTACGTAGATTTCAATAATGATTATATCTCTCTATTTGAAGAATTGAACAAGTACTGTGATAGCCCATATCACAAGTACAAAGCAATCTTTAAGGAGCAATACTGGAGCACTCCCTGGAGGATAGCATCTTTCTTAGAAGCAATTCTGCTTCTTGTGCTCACTTTAATCCAGACAATATCATCTGTCATAGCCTTATTTCAGAATTAATAACTCCGAAGCTTTTGTAAGGGCTCAAGCCTTAATCAAAATCTTTGGACTATTGTCTTTTTCTGGACGGATTTCTTTGTTTGTTTGTTTTATTGTTCGTTGGCATGTTTTGTTCTATATTATTGGAATAAAGATTCTACTTGTAAGCCTTATATATAGTCATGACGCCTAGTTAATTGTGTTGTTGAATTTCATAGATATCACCTTGTTCCGTCTTAAAGCAATTGAAGTCCGCGTCTCTCTCTCGCTCTATACCACTGCGGTCCTTTTTTTTTTTTTTTTTAATCGGTTAAGGGGAAAAATACTCATAAAAATGCAATAAAAGGTCGTCTAATATCATAAACATTTTTGGGCTCAGATATACCGATCTAAGGAAAGATAGCCCAATAATGCCAGTGCCATTAAAATACACAGAGTCCCTTGCTTTTATGGTGGGATCCATGATACTTTAATGAAAATATCAAAATATCCCAATTAACACAAAAAATTATAGGTTAAAAATACCCATGTAATTATACTAAAAGTTCACCAAATAACATATAATGTTTGATGAAAGCACTAAAATACCCCCAATATCAAGGGCTATTGCATTAGAATGTGTTAGAAAATAGAGATTATTAACTATAATAAATTTTTATATCCCCAATCTTTATAATTAAAAAAGATTATTGATTTTTTAATATAATTTTTCAGTCAATTTTTCTCCTATTTTTATAAAAACTAACTAATTTTTATAGTTATTATATTAATTGTTATGGTTGAACATATTTTAATAGCATAAATATTATATATAATAATTAGATATTTTTATAACCTATCGTTGTTTTATATTTTAACACCATTAATACTTATCTTAAAGTATTTTAATTTCAGAGAATTATTAAATAAAGTCAGCAAAATAAATATTTACATTTAATCCTTTGATTAGTATTCATTTGACTTTTTCATATTTTTAATTCAGCTTAAAAAAATCATAATTAAATCTAGAACAAAAATTATATGAGGATGCTGTAAAGTTTGATTGAAATAAAAAATCTGAATTCATCTTGTAAGAGGGTGGGCTTTTTTCTTGAAAGAGAGATAAACCAAGATGACCATCGAGATGTTGGAAAGAGATGTTTTTTTTTAACTGGGGGTATTTTAGTGCTTGTGTTAAAAAGATTGAGTCCTACAACCAAAAGTGGCTTTGAATTTCTCAAAGAATTGAACGTAAACGTAAAAAAATCTTAAGTTGACTGTTAAAATTCATAACATAGACAGAAGGATAAAAACAAAACTCCATATACCGTTGATATAAGCAATTTATTTTCAAAAGATATCCATAATGTCTACTCAAAAAAAATTCAAGCTTGAACATTTTTGCACAAGTTATTTTAATTATAAAAATTTATTATAATTAATAATTGCTAACATGCTCTAATGCAGTAGCCCTTCAAGAGTGAATGTATTTTGGTACTTTCATTAAAATTTATATAGTGTTTAGTGAAATTTTGGTACAAGTTCATGGTTATTTTTACCCTTAGTTGTTTTGGTTTTGATGGGAATATTTTGTATTTTTATCAAAAATATCATGGATCCAACTAGAAAAATGAACGGCATTTGTGCATTTGATAGGCATTAGCACTGTTGTGTTCTTTTCAAACTTGGATTGGTAGATTTAAACACACAAAAAGTTCATAGTGTTGGATAAATTTTTGGTACATTTTCAAATGTATTTTTGATTCTTAACCCTTATTTATCACTCGTAGGAGTTTCTCACATGCCAAGGAGAGCGTTAGATAGATCAAATCTTCATTTCACTTTTGTCCTTATTAAGAAGAACATTAAATACTAGTATATTTTCTCCCCCTCATTCCCTCTCTCTTTACCTTTACTATAATTAATAGGGGTAGAATTAGAAATGAAGCATAAAAAAGGGTACAAGTAACAAATAAAAAGGACAAAAATTTCCCCTTGCAAGTAACAAATGATAAAGACCAGAATGATATCTGTGTATATATATATTGACTCGCCAGTTTCTGTGTGTCTAAAGGCATGCTTCATCGTCACAACTCCAAGAGGTGGGCATCATAATAATAAATAAATTAAGTTGTTAATTAATTAAGTCCATAAATATGGTGCATATATGTGTTTATAACGTTGATTATGGTGTCATATAAATAAAGTATGCTCAATCTGAATTAAGATTGTTTTTATTCACTATTGCCATGTTTTTTCTTCTGACCTTTTGGAAGACAAAAGATAACATCCCAATTTTTAATTTTGAAATTTAAGTAACATTATAATGAGATTATTTCATTTTAATTTGAATTTATCATATAACTACTTCAGTAAGGAGAATTTACTCAAAATAAAAGTCAATTTTAATTATTTAATTTCATGTCATAATTTTTAGAAGAAGGAACAATTAATATAGTTAGGTTGAATTAAGTAACGTATTTTTCCAAATTAATATATTATAATCAATACATCATGCAAAAGTTTTGGTGGCACCTCCTTGTTTTTACTGTTCATCAGCTCTATGAAGAGGCTCAGCTTTAGGCTTTGTGCACGGAGAAAAAGCATGGTGAATATTTGTTATTCGGTTGGGATAGATTTGAATTTTAAAATTTGAAATTCCTTCCATGTTCTGTGGACTCTTTTTGAGAAATTCTTTGTACCAAGTCATTTAAACTCCGGTCAATGTATGCCATGTAGGATTAAGCAGATCTAAAATGGAGAATTTTGACTAGCTAGAGTTTAAATGACATGGTACTCTCGGAGTACCTAAGAATTTCTCAACTCTTCTTAAATTGTCTATATTTTCTCTTTCTTCTTCCTCTTCTTCTTTTCAATATTTCAAATTTTGAAATTTGAAATTTGAAATTAAAATTTCCTGTATATTTTTTAGGCTAGTATATATTTTTCCTCCCTCATCTTCTTTTCACTATATCTTCTTCTCTTTCATTTGCTCCTCTATATCTCTTCCATTACTATTCCTTTTTTTGAAAATTACTTGCGTTTCTTCTTTTCTCTTTCTCAAGCCATTGTTGTAACATCTACCTATTTCGAATGTTCTCTCCAGCAAAGAGATTGAGACGCAGTGTTTCAGTTAAGCACCGTCGCCGTTAGGGTCAAAAATTTTCAATAGGGGTTTGGGAGTTATTGCATTACTTTTGATTTTTATTAAGAGGGAGAATCTTGCTCTGCTAGGATTTTCTCAGGAACTCTTTGAGAAGTTCATGAGCTCTAGGAGTAACAAGCAATGGTAAACATTCGCGAGGATGTCAAAGTATGCTTTGGGTGATTCCTGCAACTGTTTGGGGAATCCAAGTAACATAAACTCTTACTTATTTCTTCTATTGGCTTCTTGGAGAAGTCGTTAATTAAGATGTAACCTATAAGATAAATTTCAAAAGAACTAAAATAAGAAAAATAAATGAAAAACTATTAGAATGGTCGATTGTGACTAATGGATAAGTGGTATGGTGGATTAGTGTGACACTATAATTGGATAGAAGCCTTGAACATGGGATTTCTGGACTTTTTTCCTTAATTTGTCATGATCCATAAGTCTTGTCGTGGCAAAGAATGGTGCCACCACTATGACGCGTGCGTTGTTGTGGCCCGGATGATTTGTTACCTAGTCGCCGTAACGATAAGTCTGTTGCGGTGAAAGACCCTGTTTGCCACGGCAATGGGTACAATCGTGTGCTGCATGACTTTTGTGTGACTTTATGATCTATATCTGGCTGAGGTATGTTGTATTATTGCATGAGGATATCTTAATATTATGGCTGTAACATAAACTGAGCATTGATGCACTGTGTGTGATAATAATTGTTAAGGAATGAGAATCTGTATATTACTAAGGTGAAACTAGTATGAATTGAATATCTTGTTTACGTACTTCATTATAAACTCTAAGAATGGGGAGGTGTTGTGATGTGAATATATGATATGATCACGTGGTTCGCTTCCGTAGAACGTACTATAGCTAGCACTTAAGATAGGGCAATACATCCTCATGTTGTGACTTCATTTATGACAATTCAGGAGTATCTATGGCAGTATACCCCGAGATCAGCACATCCACTAAGATATTGGGTAGTTAGCCCATTGGAGCAATACACCCCTTTCTTGGAGGAGCCCATGACTCACTTGTGTTCTGTTGACTTTGGCAGGTCAGCAACACATGTGAGGGAAACTTGTAGTAGTCCCTCGTCTCATGGTAAGATATAGCCCATGAGTCCAAGTCAGCAAGTATAAAGAGAATAAAAGGTGGGAATTGAATTAAATTTAAGGAGTAATGCTTGATGCTCTAGGTATGCTATCTGTTAATCCTTTCTTGTTTTGTACTTGTATATCTGTTATCCATGATGAAATATGATATGCTTAATGATTGCCATAATTGTTGATGTAACACCTTGAATTTTATGACTTAGGATGAGTAGAAAAGAGAAAATTTATTAAAATTATTTATTTGCCAAATAAATTGAGAAAAATTATGGAATATTGATTTTTAGGGTTTAGAGACATTTTCGAAAAGGTATTTCCCCTAAAATGGCTTAAATAATTTTAATAGATAATTTTAAGAGAAAAATGGTTTATTTTCTCTGAAAATTATGGAAAAATACTTAGAGATTTATATTTAATCTGAAATTTTTAGGAAAGTCATTTTATGGGTCAAAGAAGCTAATGGATAAGAAAAATCCATTTATGATATTTTGGTTTAATTTCTGGATATATCTTATATTTCAGAAAAA